TGATATTTTCAGCCCCCACCTCCCATGATATTTTCGGCCTCCACCACCCATGATATTTTAGGCCCCGACCTCCCATGATATATTTGGCCCCCACCTCCTATGATATTTTCCAGATCTCTTTGTAGGCAGCTGATTGACCAACTGGTACCGATGACCTTTACCAGCCTCGAGTGCGTCTAGAGTTAGGTGGTCCCAGGTTCAAATCCTGGTCTCAAGGCTCTATTGTAATTTTCATCTCCTGTTATACATGAACATCTATAGAACCAAAGAATTAATTGAAAATAATAGACAGTCTTACAATATTGAGTGTATTTATACAGCATAAAATTTCGAAAATTGAAAAGTGAGCTAAGTACGTTGTTAAACTAACTATTATTATCAAAGAACAGTACATCCTGTTCTTTCAGTGATAACGTATGAAGGTAGCTGTTCTAACACAGGATAAAATCTGGATTGTTTTGTCTCCCCCTTTCACCTCATGTCTTTAGGTTACCCAGGATTCAGTAAACCAGTTTGAATACTTTTATAAAGTTTCATACTGATACAACAAAGATTTTCTTTTTATAATAATGGTGACCTTGACCTTTGAACCATAAAAATATACACAATAATATTGCCAACACACAAAATCACTTTTCTGCAAACAATCCAAACAGAAAGACAATCAATGTGAGCCGACAACACATCAATATGTAGTATTGTTTTATGATAGGTCATATTGATATAGTCACTCTGCAGGTGTCGTTGCCATGGTGACAGGGTTCGTTGTTAGGGATCACGAGACAAGGTCAGTAGACAGGTGGTCTGTGAGGTGTCCACACCAGTTTATAGTAGCACAACATGACTAAGCAAACTACACTGTACATACAATTGGTCCTTACCAGAGGTGATGTTGTCACAATGACTGATATGACACGATACCTGCCGGAGTTTGGTGTTTTGTGTTAATTGTTTATGTCCGAGGATATTTAAATAAGAATAACAATGATCAACAAATCAACAATCAGATTTTGAAACGTGCATCTTGGTTTGGGTTATATACTAAGTGAACGGTTCACTGCATGACCTTAGCTGTTATGAAGATGTTGAGCCGAAAAAAACCCCAACATCTTTTAAAAATGAAGGTCTTCGCATCTTATTCCATGTAGTATAGAACCTTATTAATGTGATGTGTTTTTATAGTCACCAAACAAGGACCACACAGCGTTATTATGTCATGCTATACAGTTAAAAGGAAACAGTTGGGTTATAAAAGGGCATCCCTGGCTTGTCCCACAACTAATATTTATAGTTTTTACGACAAAATTTAAAACATAATTTAGTGTCCAAGTATTTAATTCCTACTCTTATATATGTCTATATTGAAGATACACTAGTGATTTATTTTGTGAAACTCGCTCTAATCCAATCCATCTCTATAAGCCCTTACCAGTTACCATATAAGGACCGTTATTGTTTTTTCATCTCTTCTCCAAAAAGATTTCCACTTGGCAGTTTGGACTTTCCAGGTTACTTGAAATCTTTGTAAGATCAACAGAATTACATAAAATATATATTTATAGCACTCAGATAATTTAAGGGAGACAACTGCCACATCTGAGAAATACTGTTAAATGTGAAAAGCTTTGTTCTGCAGTTTTGTATCAAACATTTAATGAAAGATGAATTCAAATTTCAAGTAACATATCCAAAATTACATGGAATAAAGAGGTGACATTTACAAGTGTGGCAGTGTTCAATTGTACATAGAATTAAGGACGCCTTCTAGCTTCGAGCTAACGGGAATTTCCTTTTAGCTCAGTGGTAGAGTGTCCGACTAGGAACCTGGAGATCGAGGGTTTGATCCCTGGTGGAAGCACACTATTCTCTTTCCTGTTACACAGGTTTACAGAAGAACTTGTCAGAATCCCAGCATCATTTATCTGTCTGGATGAGGCAGCAAATTAGTAAAACTATTCACTAGCAATCATCAGCAGGCTTAGAGTAAGTGTCTAAAATCTACATATTCTTGAAGGTAGTTCAGGCAGACATACCACCTGATTGTCAACATGATATATAGCTGGCATGCAAGTATGTTGTTCGTTTAATGAATGTACAAGATGTTTAAGAGGTGGGGACAGCTATTATACCTGCTTCCATACATAACTGTCAGTGTTTTCCTGTTTGGTTTTATTTTTAGAAGCTGGAATACCTTCTAGTCTTCAATCGTCACTATTAGTCTTACAAGTGATATGAACCCCCTCCCCCCTCCCCCTCATCCCTTCCTCAACACTTCCTTTTTTCTCTGCAGAGTTTTCCTTCCTCTTATGAAAAACAGAATAAAAATTGGTCTCGCATATATGAAAGGAAATTACAACAGAAATACTATCAATTGAGGAATGTAGACTAACTCCATGCAGGTTTCAAACTTTCCAATTATGGTACAATTGTAGACAGACCTCATACAGGCTTGAAATGTTATTTTTCTGCTAGAATTTTAGGTCATTTCCTCTCACTGTACAAAGACAGTTATAGATTGCATGCCTTATCAGGAGTTTAAACATTTTGGAAATATTTCCAGGAATGTTGCAGAAAAGTGTATCATGTCCGGTGCTGTAGATGATATTAGCTTGATCCCTGATTTAACTGCAAGAGGTCCTGGGAATGAAACCTTGCTGAGATTTATTTTAAAAAAGGAAATTACAATAAATATATTTCTTTTGTATAATGACTCTTCACTATTGTAAATGGGCAAGCAACTCCATAGTGTGCAGGTACTCCCCACCTTAACAAGGTACTCCCCACCTTAACAAGATACTCCTTAACAAGGTACACCCCACCTTAACAAGGTACTCCCCACCTTAACAAGGTACTCCCCACCTTAACAAGGTACTCCCTAACAAGGTACACCCCACCTTAACAAGGTACTCCCCACCTTAACAAG